CCGACGCCTGCCCGACTCGCCCGGGCCGCGGCTGGCAGCGCCTGTGCCATGGGGTTGCCCACTCTGGAGTTCAGCGATTCCTACTTGGACAGCCCGGATTTCAGGGAGCGACTGCAGTGTCACGAGATTGAGTTGGAGCGAACTAACAAGTTCATCAAAGAGCTCATTAAGGACGGCTCCCTACTCATCGGGGCGCTGAAGAGTAAGAGGCGCTGGCAGGGAGGGGAGGGCGCGGCGCGCCGGGCTCCGGAGAGTCCCCGGGTTCGGTCCGAGGGGTGGGACGTGGAGACCGAGCTTCTTTTGTTTGAATGGATTTGGGGACAAGAGCTGAAGAGCTCCCCTGCTGGTGGCCAACAAAGTTTGTTCTTAGGTGTTCCCACTTTCTGAGTTGAGAAAAGGGAAAGTTTTCCACTGTTCCCTGGGAGTATCCGGAGGAGGGTCCTTCAGTCATCTTTTGTGTAACGCCATTGGAAAGATGTTGGAGACCTCCTCTCCTTTCTTTTTTTGTAAATTCTTTTCGTGCCTAGTGGGAACCTTTTAAAATAAGCCCTTAAAGGGAGTGGGTGGGGATAGAATCAATAATTTAAGAATAAATTCAAACTGGTTCATTTAACGATAATTGAAAGGTATTACTAATTTTCTGCATACATCAGTGACTCTTCACTGGGCAGTCACTGAGTAGACTTTTTAGAAACTACATTTGCAGTTTTGCCATTTAGTAAGATGATCAAAGACAGCATAACACCGGTGGACATTAACTCTTTACAAATTTTCTTTTCATCTTAATTTTTTGTTTTCATCGTGTATAGTGTTGTTCGAGTTACTGAAAATGAGAGCTCAGTGGCTAAAGGCCAGCTTGAATTTCAGATAAGAGTCATTGCCTTCCACTCCCTCACAACCACCAGACAAGATTTTCTTTCCCTGTTTCAGCCTCTGGAACTTTAATTTCAATTAAAAGAGTACAGTATCTGGAACTCACTTTCTCCTACAGAGAATTGAATGACTGAATGATATGCTTAACTTGTTACCTTTCCCAGGACAGATTTGCATCTTAATAGAAGATTCTGCATGCTTTAGCTTCTGAAGTGAAACTATGGAATCTCAGGCCTCCACTTGTCGGGTGGATGAGATATTTTCACAAAGAAGATAGCTAGGCCTTTGGGTGACCCAGAAAGTCCTGAGACATGTACATGGGCAGTGTCTTTGTGTAGGTCAAGTGCTAGGTCAGCAACATGATTTAGATGTGTGGGGGGGGCATGAAGCTGAGACAGTTTAGCGTCTCATCTCTATTTTGAAGCATGTATTCGCAGGAAGAATGGAACTTACGATTTTTTGAGGTTAATGATTTCCAAAATCCTTTTTTGTTTTGATCACCCCAAATGCTAAAATATTTACATGTCGCTGGTTGTTACTTAACAAAAGTAAATGTTCTATGCGCATGTTGTATTAATTTCTGAATTTGAGGCTACGTTAATAATAGAATTTACTGTAATTTGTGAGCTATAAAGTTTACATGTAGTACAGTACTTTCTAGCATACAAAGATATGAATTCTCCACCCTTCTGTCTTGAAAATCCTGGTTGAGGTCTCCAGGTTAACCTCTTTGGCAAGCATAATGCCTTTTCAGAAAGAAGTACTTCCCTGTTGTGGAGCCCTAACTGCCGACCTGACTCTTACTGGAGCTGCCAGATGTTCTACATTTTTCCCTCCACCCTGCATGAGATGAACTTTGGTGTTTCAGAAGTTCAAAATCTGACATATGCATGATTTTGCGATAATATAAACTTCCTCGTGATTCTTGAGTCTAGCCTTGAAAAATTCAGGTGATTCCCGTCCTTAATAGGTGTGTTCTTCACCTGGTGGGTGAAGAAAGACATCTCGAAAGTGTAAGCTCTTTGAAGATGTAGACCTTGCCTAATTAATTTGGTCTTAGGCTCTTAAATATACTACTTGCTGTCTTTCTAAGAGTCTTAGTTTTTGTGGTCAAAATGTATTTAACAAACATTTGATTATTATTTTTTTCATTGTGAAAGAAAATGCTTTATTCATTGTTAAAAGAATTTCCAGCATCAGCTGCCAAATGTGAGATTCTAGAGAAAAGAAACCCTTGAAGTCACATGCTAGCACTGCTTTTTTTCCTCACTAAACCACCTCTGTCCCGTGGGGAGGATCCTCAGAGGCCATACTGCAGCTGCTAAAAGCAAGCTCTCAGAGATGCTAGCATAGGGTGTGTCTGAGAATTTGGAGCCTGCTTAGTTTTCTCCCTGGGTCCATTAAGGGAGCCCTCTTTCTCCTGCTCCTGTCCCTCCTGTTTTCCTTTTGACTAAAGAGGACTGATGAGTCCTTTGCCTTGATTAGCTTTAATACACTTATTTCCACAGGTGTATCCAGTTGTCCATTTCAGGTTGTTTTTGTTTTTGTTTTTGTTTCTGTTTAATAATAATGAGTAATAGTTGATTAATGATGATATCCTAATATAATCTCATTTAGCTGGCATCCTATATTATTTCTATCTTGGTTGATTACTTTTTCTGGTGAGAGTTTTGGCATGCCTTCTCAGTACATGCATGGCTTTTCCAATAGAACCGCAAATACTCCTTGGTCTACGATTAAGAATTTAAGTTTCTTTAGTTGACTATTTGGTAGGGGTCTTAGAAGTTGATCTAGAGGATTTGAATTAAACTACAGGATTTCATTTTTAAAGAATATATGTAAGACACTTAACATTTTAAAAATGAGTTATTTTACATTCCATGTTTGAATCTGCTCTGAGACAAAGGATAGTTGTTTAATATATTAACCTAGACTTGAGTTTTAATTCTGGTGTTGTTCAAATTTTGTGTGATGGTTGGACATAAATTAACCTAAGTACTATCTTTCCCATAACATGAAAACGTGCAAAAACTTTACCACTGGGGTTATTTGTTCATTTTGTTACATGACGTGACATTTGGGGAGTGGTGATAATTTGAGAAATGTTCTCAATACCAGTAAATCGTTTAGTTTATACTGTATGACTCAAAATCTCCACCCTTATCCTCAAATATTATTCTGTGAACATTATTTCCTTATCAGGTATCAGCCTTAAAAATTGAACTGTGGAATCAGAGGATTTTTTAATTAACTTTCTCTTTTTAAGAATCATATTCAAAGAAGTGTTTATAAATTACTCTCGTCATTTTTTCTTATACTTTTGATTTTAAAGAATCATTTTTAAGAACAGAATTTATTCTTTCAAGTCAACAGATGTCCCCTTCAAGAAAAAGGAAAGGAAGAAAAAAGATAGAATTGAAAAGTTGTAGATTTTAAGTGTTCTAAAAAGATAAATACATGGATTATGCATATATATTGGCATGATTTAACCAATCCATGATATATGCATAAATCAAGAAATAATGTTGTACATCATAAATATGTATAGTTTTTATGTATAAATTAAACTGAATCAGTTAGAAACATTCAGCCTGTGTATCTGTGGACTCATCCAACCTTATACATTATTGAAAATATTCAGAAAAAAATGACACAAAAAGTTGACTACACATGTAGACTTTTGTCATTTTCCCCTAAGTGATGTATAACAACTATTTACATATCATTTCCATTGTACTAGGGATTTTAATTAATCTAGAGATGATTTAGAGTGGAGGATGTTATATGCAAATACTAGGACCTTTATATAGGCATCTTTGGATTTGGGAGGCATGTAAGAATGGACTAGGTGAGGCGTTCATTATCAACATTCTTTTCTCTACTCAGCCCTGCAGCATCTTTCTTGGCTTTTATTCTTTATCATGATTTTCCTCTCATTGCCTGAAGCTGGAGTTGGCCAGAGTTTTGGTCTATGTTTAAAATTGCTTCTCAGATGTGTCTGTACATCTACCAACTACACACAATGAATATAATTATTATGTCATAAATATGAACAAATAAAAAACTGAATCTAGTATTATTGATGTAGGACGGTACTGTATCATACCTCTATGAATGTAAAATATCTAGTACCTGCCTTATGATACATAGTAGGGACCGTGCTTTATCAGAGCTACGTTTAATGATATTACTCTAGAATATTCTCTTTCCAGATGATGATTAAGAGGCTAATAGAAAAAATGGTGCCAGGGGCCACAACAGCAACAGAACTTTGCTGTTGTCTGGATATTATTCTTTTCTTTGTTTTGTTTTTTTTTTAAATGGAATGTGCTGAATGTCTATAATTTTGTTCAGATGACTGTAGAACCTGGAAAAGCTGTTGCTGCTATCAATGCATAACATACTATTATTAGTCTTTTTATATAAATATATATATAT